TTTTGATAGTTGCATTCTTTTTTTATATATGTAGAGAAAAAAATTAATTGGAGAAGCTGCTTTTGATGATTTCACGATGAGGGTTCTGACTGCAGGAGAGGATAAGCTTGTACCGAGAGAAACTGGAGCGATTTGATGAATGGAGTAAAGGTATCTATTATACTTCTGTTGTTTTGTTGATGGTTTCCTGTTTAACTGTTTGCTTAGTGTAGTTTGAGTGCTTTCTTACTGTTACCATTTGTTCTACAACATCCGGTAGCTCCTTTGCGGCCATCGACTAGGTTGAATTCCCAGGCAGCAACACGTTTCATTGGGCACTCGCTGCCCAACTTGACTCCAGGTACGCAAGTACACTTTAATTGCCTCTTGTGGATCATTCCACTTCTTCTGTTGGACTCAAATAGGATACATGTTTATATTTCAGAGCAGAGGCAAAGTTTGCGGGATATTAGTCGAGGGGACTTTGTCAGAATTAGGCCTTCTGACAATCATAGAGCAAAGAAGAAGAGGAAACAGCAAAAACCCGAAAGACAATCTGCTCGTGCTGCTGCACAAGAGTTTCTTGAGAAAGCAGCTCGTGAGCTTCTTGGTGCTGGTGAGCTTGGTTTAAAGGGTCCCTTACAAGAGATATCAGACGAAGAGGATGAACAGATTGGTTGACTTTCATTATCTGTCTTTGAGGTAAGTTTGAATTTTGAAATAAGTTATGCTCTATGGTCTGCTGCAGTGTTACTGCTATTTCAATTTCAGCAGCTCTTAAGTAGCTACATTCTTCCATGTTATTACCTTGAAAGTCACAGTGAATCATAGTCCTTCATCATAAGGCAAAGTTCAATCTTAGTAAGCATCCTACATGTAAATTGTTGTCGAATCATTCATGGAAATTCATAGAAACATTTTATGTTTATCTTTTGTCAGTGAATCGTGCAATTTCTATTGTACCTTTAGTCTGCTAGAGATCCATGTTTTTCCCCTCCACCAACGATTTAGGTAATGGAAGTTGCTGTTCACTTTTAAATTTCATCTATACATTCTTCAATGAATTTGGATCAGTTTAAACAAAAGATTGTTGACATGTTGTTGTGATTCTAAGTTATAGCTCATATTTAAATTTGTACAAATTATTGGAAGTAGATCTATTAGAAAAAGGAATTGAAATTAGATGTGTCTGTTCATTTTCTGAATTATTACACATTATTTTGTTGTATTAACATTAACTACTTTAGTATATGTATATATTTATATATTTGAGAAACATTTGACATGGACAGCTGTGTAAAAATTATGAAAAGCATTTTGCAGTCTTCCCCCTTGTATAAATTGGCTATACACAATGTCAGTCATCAAATGACATTATGATTTATAATACTCAGTTACTTCTTCTGTTTAAACTAACCATAATTAACATTTTGATAATTGAATGAGCATGGCTAATCTTGAAGCCTGAACACATAATGGTTACAAACTGAAATTTAAACGGCTATGGAAGGCTGCCTTGCTCTACATGTCTCTGCCATATAAAGTTATAAATCATCTTGCTAGTAGTGAACAATGTTTAGCCTGATCTGTGTTGCCATAAGCTGAACCAGAAAATCTGACCATTAAATGTCATAAACCTGGAGAGGCCAGATATGTTTTCTGTTTGATTTCCAACAGCATTCAGGGATTTCAGATAACATTATTTTCTAGTTAACTTCATTAGTCGAGTTTCAAGGAGATTCATTCCAAGTTCACCATCGAAGGACAGAGTCAACCTATGAAATTCATCAATGCTGAACTCGGAACTCTGAGACTGAAAACCAAATTGATGAATAAAAATGTTCATATTCTTGGGTGACTCGACCTAGAATTGTGTTTTGCAATTGCATATTAGCTAAGTAAAAATAAAGGATTACTGACCAGCATCTATCCTTCTGAAGTTGCCTATTGATTCTCACAAGGGACTTTATTTGTTAGACAGAAGAATCATGAATAAGAGAAGCTACGTCTTTGTATGAAGCTGTTGAGAGAGCAGCCAGGTTTGATGTCTAGAGGCATGGGCCAAAGTTGCCTCTATGTTCTTCTCTGAAGCGCCTCTATTATGACTCCATAAACTGGCATAAAGAAATAAAGGAGAAGAATTGAAGAGATATGTAATTATGGAGAAAGGAGACGCAAAGAAAGGGATATGGTAACTGGAAGGTAGTCTGAGATGGTGGTCTGATAACTTTTCAGGATAAGTGGGCAAGGATGTCAGCAGCATCAGGAGAATGGGTGCTATATTTGAGGATTACAAACATTTTTGGAACTGACTAGGGCATTGATAATGGTGGAATGGTGCAATCAAAATAATCTCAAAAAAATGTGGAATTTCTGATCATGATATTATTATAGGTGAATAGCAATTATCTAAAATAAAGGGTCAAGTGACTACATACGGTTTATTGAGACCTGAACAGATTAACCATTTTGGACAATGACTCCCATAGCAGAGCTATATATTGTTAATAAACAGGAAGAGAAGAGAAGAAGTGTAAGAAATAGTATAACTTAGTGGTGGTGTAGATAATGATGTCAGTTCATTTAGCTATAGTTGGATGAAGACGCTGTAATGTTGGTTACATTCCATTTTAATCATCAACCTGGCCTTCACTTAGTGGTCGTTTCTCTTCTACATTATGAATGGGTACTTCCCCTTAATATTTTTCTACTACAATGTTTTTTTTTCTATTTAATTATTGCTTTCTTAGGCCCGTTTGAAAAGAATAATAGGATAGTGTTCATATCTATGTAATGAAAGACTAGTACTCAAGACTTTATATCCGTATAATGTTCATATCAATGTAGTGAGGCTCACTCTAGGGGATCTGATTTAGACTTTATTGTAAACATGAACGATGATGGTGTGATTACAGATATGAACTAATGAAGCTCTTTTTTTCTTTTTAAAAAAAGGACTTGTACTTTATCTAGGACATCACAAAAGTTTATAGTGGGGATAGCTAAAAGTTTACATATATGAGTATGTTGTGGTGTTTTCTGCACTTACCTCAAGTCTTAGTAATGCAAGTGCTATAACTTATACAGCGAAAAAGACCTGTTGATTCCATGCTTGCCTTGTAATCAAATCCCTTAGAATTCTGATTAAGCAGAGGAAGATTTCGATGAAGCATAGTGATTATTGATCCAGGCAGTAGTAGTCTTAGGATGTACTAGCAGAATGCTGTTAGTACCATTCATTAAACAAATATTTTGTTTGTCCTGCTTTTCAGTTTTATGTGCATAATCCATATAGTAACTATTGTTTTAGACCTTTCCAGGATGATCTTGCCAATGCTTTTAACACTATTTTACTCTTGGAACAGGAGTAATCAGCTTCCCGGAGGATTTTGGATTGTTGGTTCTTTCAAGCAGTAACTATGGGTTTGCATGTTCTTTTGTCATTTTATTATCTCAGACTGCTGTTAAAAGCCATATTTTTGTTGATTTTCTTTCATTGAAGTGGTCATCAGTGGCGTTGTCAACATGAAGCTATAACAAGTTTAACATATTTATGTGATAATTCCAGCTTGGATTTGAGTGTTTTTTTTGCAGAACAAGCCCAAGTTTTACATGGACTTGTTCTTAATGTGGTTGTGTTGGAGTTTGTCCTCTTCCATCAGGAAACTGAAAACTTGTTGATGATGTTGGCATGTTCATTCCCACTGGAAAGAGAGGATGTTGACATTTTCTACTGACTGATGATGACAGATGGTCCCAATTCTTGGATAAAAATGATATGCTTGGGCATTCAATCTTTTCCGGCAGCAGGAATTATAGCTGAGATTTATGTGGTAACCTAGACTGAAATGGAAATGAAATTACTTTGAACTCTTTATTGGTTGCTCCCTAGCTATTTGCATGTATAGAATTATTTATTATCACAGTGTAGCCAATGAGGGGATTATTCATGCAATCTGAATATATATATATATATATATATATTCTCATTTAGATCCATAAGGTTACTGCAGCTATCACATGAAAGGAGTATTCGAACATTATCTTAATAAATTGAATTTTTTATTACCAAACTGATTAATTTTTAGGACATTTAGTTTAATAATTAATTTAAAAAATCTAAAATCATACATTTATTGTTTAAAATAAAGACAGCTTGTCCATTGTTTTGAGATGAATTTAGTCTAATTTCTAATAGCTTGCTATCTACATCATCACCATTTGGATCATGAAACATCAAGTCAGAGGTTGGTGTATTCGAACACCTACAAGGTAATCTGCCTACCCATGCTGTCCTTGTCACCTTCTCAGCCTTGTGCAGAGGCCAAAAGGACTGGCCATGGTGATGGCTATCAGGAAGGAAACAGGTGGAAACTTCAACAGGCCCTACAGTGAAGAACACAGGTAAAAAGACCAGAATGGAGCTAAAGTCCATCTCAAGCTTCTCCAACCCTGAAGCACTTCCAGGGAAGAGGTGGAAACTTCCTCAAAGCAAAAGACCAGAATGGAGCTGAAGTCCACCACAAGCTTCTCCAACTCAGAATCCCTTCCTTTTTAGGTGCTATCACCAGCATCTCCATGACCACCATGCCCATGATGATGATGCTCTCAACATGTTCATGTTCCCCCCCCTCTCTGCCTGTGTGTGCTGTAGTCATAACTCACAAGCTTCCTCAGGTTGCTGACTCTTTTAATCAACCAGCCAATTTCATTACCTTGTGAGAGAGAATCTCTTCGCTTTCTGTGCAAATTTGTCAAACAGTCTACTGTACACTGTAGCAGGGCTTGAAGCACAACGCACAGACTGTCACCCCTTGATCCACAAGCAGGAAGGAGAAATGGTGGGAAGCTTTGGCATGTGAGAGAAGAAGAATGGGAAAAGGTTATTCCATGGAACTTCATGGGCAAGAAAAGGCAAGCATTTATGTAGGCAGACAAGGACTTATCAGAGAGGTAAAGGGAGGACATTTTGGTAACTCCGAGCAGAGGCCACCAAATAAATGCCACATTCCACCATCTCCACCCATATGAGGCCATGACAAATGTACCAGAGCAGGCAGCAGCAAACAGCTGCAACATCACAGCACAGCAACCATTCATCTCTCCTCCTCCTTTCCATCATGTACACGCCCCTCCAATCTCTCCTTCCCCGTCAACCAAGCCAGGGAAGAAAATTAAAAGAATCTCCACCCTCCAAGAAGCAGTGCAGGCTCTCTCCCAGCCATCTTTGCTCCCGATGGCCCATCTGGACCAGGAGTTATGTGAGGGGAGGAAAACCAACGCCAAGGCCAAAAGGAAAAGAAGCGAGGTGAGAAAAAAGGAGGAATAGGAAGGGGGGGGGGAGGGGGGGAGAGGGAAGACAAGGCAAGAAAGATAACGAAGGGGGGTGTCCTCAGATGTGCATCACCCAACCAAACCTCTCTCTTTCTCTCTCTCATCCCTCCAATTCCCAAACAATACCACTGCCTTGGCTTGCCACAAATGCCCCTCTGCAGCCCAGGAAACCCTTCCACCCATCTCCACCGAGCAGGAAAACGCTAACCCATCTCCTGTTCCCGATTTATATGGGCCTTTTGGTCATGGTCAGACCTCAGCAAAACAGGCGAAGGAAGAAACCCCACCTTTGTTTCTCCATCGCCCCTTCTCTCTCTGCAAAGGGGGAACCTTTTCCCATCCCGTTCCTTCCATCTGTGGATCTCTCCTCGTCTCCCTTCTAAAGGTGGGATTTTGGGGCCGTGGTGATGAAGAAGGGAAAGAGATCGGTCATGGGGTCTTCTCCGGCTTCCACTTATTATCCGGTCACCGAGGAGGCCAGGGCGCGGTTCAGGCACCAGAGTCTCTTGCAGGATTATGAGGATCTGCTAAAGGTAAGATCTTTGGGTATTTCTTCTTTTTTATCTGTGCCTGCTATGTTTTAGGTGTTTGGATTTCCTGCATAAGAATCTGAGTGAGATGTGTTGTGTTAAGGTCTTCTCTAATTTGATGATCTTAGAGATTTGGGCGTCTTTTTAGTTTGGTGGATTGTGTGGGGGAAATTAGGGATCTGTAGCCCTACTTTTTTCAGCATGAATTTTTGGGAGTCTTAACTTGTGGGGTTTGATTGTCACCAAAAAGTTATTTGGTTTTAGGTATTTTCTTTGTTGGGTTGGATCTTTTGATCAATTATTTTAAGATGTGTTGTGTGATGGGTTTCTTCAATTTTTTTTTCTTTTAATCAATCTACTTTTATAAGGAGATCCAAATCCAATGTTTCTTGATGTTACCTTTTGTTGTTGTTTTATTTTCTCTAAATTCTGCTTTCTCAGATCTACATGTTTCAGATTATTGTTTCCTTTGGCTACTAAAGGAATTGCTCCTTTGTTTCCCTCTTCACTAACAAAACCCTTAATCTGAGTATTAAGAGATCTAATCATCTTTTTGTTTCATTAATGGAGAGTTCTTTCTTCGAAATGTCGGATTAGTTCTTTTGTTTTAGGCTTTCTTGATCACCATAAAATTTTGTACAATCTTGCTTCTCCAAAAATCTTACCAGCCTTTTGTGCCAGGAAACTGAAGCAAAGAGGAAGAAATTGCAGAAGGCAAATGAGAAGAAACTTAAGCTTCTGGCTGAAGTGAAGTTACTACCTCTTCCTTCTGGCCTTTTACATTATGTTTCTTTTGTACTTCGGCCTTTTGAGTCCAAATTGCAATAGTTGTGATGGAAATTGTTCTCTAAAGGTTTATACTTCTTGTTCATCTGTAATGCTATAGATTCTTGCGAAGAAAATATAGGTGCCTGTCGAGTAATCCATCAGGAAAGACTCCATGTAGGCTGAACAAGAAGCCACAAAGCTCGCCATCATCATTGCTGTTAACTGGTCGGCCTTCAATTCCATCCTTTCAACTCCCTGCCAAAGACCAGAGCTTCACAGCAAGAGATGCTACTACTCCAAGCACTGCAGCAGTAATAGACTTGAACCAGGTCTCCTTGCCGGTAACTAATGCGGTCGAAAACTACATGCACAAATCACTGATGTTTCATACTTACTGTGAATGTTCATACAAAACTACATGCACAAATCACTGATGTTTCATACTTACTGTGAATGTTCATACGGCAGATTGGCGAAGAAATGGATGAGTACCAGATCAGCTTGGAGCCTGCAAAAGCCGATAGGTTGAGGAAGAGTCCAATGGAAGGTGATGCCATGGCTAATGATCTGAAGCTCTCGATCTGCCGGGATGTTGGTCATGGATCAAACCAGGTGGTTAAGAGAAAGATCACATGGCAAGATCAGGTGGCTTTGAGAGTGTAGGCTGGTTCTGTGGCTTATGAGGGCGAAAAAGACATGCCCTAAACTAATTTAGTTTCTGTTTGTTGGTAATTGTTCTGCCTGTAAAGGATAACTTAGAGGTCTGATCCTCTTAATAGTGATCATGAGCCTGTAAAGTTAATGTTCTTTGTCACTCCTGAGGATGAGCTTGATAAATTAGTCATAACCAGCAGTTGAATGTTTATCATTGGGTTTGAGGGTATAGATTGTGGAAGTTGTTGGAGACTCCATAAAGTACTGCCTTCTCTAAAGATTATTTTTCATTGCTGCTTCTCAACTAATCATTTGGCTTCATCAGTTGTCTTGGATCCATCAACTCATCAATTGGCATCAAATGAAGTTAGAACTTTCATGTTCAAAGTAACATCTGCTTGATCTGGATCTGAATGCAACAGTTGAATTAGTACAGCTTACCAAGAGACAGTAAGCTAATCACAGTACAGATGATATTATAAACAGTTTATCTTCTGGCATGATTGATATTCTAAACACATTTGAGTGACACATTTTGCACTTAAACCAAAAAAGAATCTTTAATCTTCTTACTAACCATTATAATTATCTGTCATTCGCACTTAGCATCACAATCTGCCCATTAAGATAAGAAGTCCTATAGAAAGTCCAACTAATTGACATCCAATTAGAAGTTATTACAGAATGCATATGCATCATCAACATTGTAATGAACATATATAATTACATACATATATATATAATATTTCCAATAAAGTCAGTATACCATCTCGATAAAACAAGTAGGATTTTTAACCAATGAAAACAAGGAGAAATGCTTGGGATCAACAGCAGTAGCAGATTGATGATATCAATAGCTTAAATAACAAATCAACATCAGACAATTTGTCTAATTAGAATAGAAATATGTATCTGAGTTAGGCTTGAATACAACAACCCTTCTTTATGTACATGTTTCTGTATCAGAAGGAAGTTTATTAGGAGTTTGATTAGATATAGGGGTTGATGTGGGAGGAGTAATCTCTGGTGCCAGCTCCCTCCCAACCCATCCATTCCTCCCACAAATCCCAGCTCGGGTCATACATCCCACTCATCGGATTGCGATCGTTATCCTCGCTCCATCCTTGTGGCTGCCACTGCTGTTGCTCCTCCTCAGCTCGTCTCAAACTGCTCATAACAATCTGCAGCAATCATGGATGAATTCAGTCACACACCAAGAACAGTAGTATGGATCAATTCATCGATAGTTTACGACACCTCCAAATGGTGAGGTTGCATTTCTCACAATATAGAGACTGGAACAACTAAGAGAAATAAAAACATACATAATAGATAAGCATATAAGCAGATTTGGTTCAAATGGCAAGAGTTCTGGTAGTCTCCTTGTCATGGAGATGATGAACAAAGAACAAATTTTGAACATGATGAATAATAATACTAGGTCTAGCAAGATCTCCAAGCGAAAAAGCCTCTCTTTAAATCCTTGATTGCAAAATCCAAAAGGAACAAAAAAAAAAAAACAGGGAATGTGGTTAATACTTACATCATAGGCTTCATTAATACGATGGAACTGGACACCGCAATTGCTGCCTTTGCAAACATCTGGATGATACTGCAAGAAAACCCATATAAATATTTAGCAAGATCACAAAAATAAATGACTTTTGGTCGAGAAGATAATGCATTAATAAACTCAAAAGTCAGAACAACGTCCTACATCTTCAGGCAAGATCCAAGGTAACAATTACACACCAAAAACATAAGGACTCGAATGATAGAAAGAAACCAGAAGGAACGTCGATGCTTTGTTGTCTGATGCCATTCTACATCACCAATCCCCATGTTTAAGATGAATTAGATGTCATTTTTGTCCCTCTGGTTGGTTCAAATGAATTACTGATGGGACTGTGTCGTTAAAAACTCTTCAAAAACACATCATTCATGCCGATTATAAACTAATATAATCCAAAAAGAATTAATTTGTCCCCCATTTTGCTCCGCCTACCGAATCAAGCCAAAAAAAAACCCCTCCTTTTTAAGAAATCCTGATTTTGAAGACCAAAAAAATAATCAAAAGAATTTTTTTTAAAAAAGATTTAATCCATTGAAAGAGGGGCACCTGAAGAGCGAGCTTCCTAAACGCCTTCTTGACTTCCTTCTCCGACGCTCCCGGATGAATCCGAAGCATCCGATAGTGATCCGCCATGCTTCCTGCGGCGGCGGCCGCGGCCGCGCATCTCACATTGCCTCCGCCCCTCCCCCCCTTCCTCATCCCCTTCAACACCTCACCTCGCCCCGCACACCTCCCGCTCGAAGACGAAGACGCACCGCCCATCGACCCCATCATCACCAACGACATCGCCATCCTCCGAAGCTCAAACTACCCGCCCCCAAAAAGCCCAACTGGAAAATGAGACCTTTCGCACAGGAACCGAAATCACAGAGGAATCGCAGAGAACTGCAAACGAGAGACCGACTTGGAATCGCTCGCTCCTCGAGACCCGTTTATATAGGCAGTGGCGTCGGGAATGGCGTGCTGAACACGTGCTAGAGAACCCTTTATCTCATCTTATCCAACCTTATTATACAATTTTGGATAATTCTAAACCTAATCAATCCAATTTTTTTTTTTAATGGTGTGAAAAATGTGAAACATGCGGATAAAATAAAAACCCAGGCCGTCACACCCGTGATCCGACACGTGCTTCTTGCCATTACATCACGTGTTGGGACCGGAGGACAATAGGATGATTGCGAAGAACGATTCTTGATGCACGCACCTTCCCGATAATTTTGCTGCTTTGTGTGATGACTTGGAGCCACGTATTCAAGTCTCCGTGTAGTAGTTGCAGAAACGTGTTTCTCGGTCAAACTGTAGTGGTTGGTGGCAGGGATTTGTCGAGAAAAATGTTCTTGTTAGAATATCACATCAGAATTTTGATTATGGAGTTTTTATTAGGATATAAAATATATATATATATGTGAGTTATGATAATTGAAGGAATGGGAGGTGAAAAATTAAGATTGGGAGAGATGATGATGATGATGATGATGATGAACCGAAAAAAAAAAAAGAATTTGCGGTGCCAATAAAACAAGATGTGTAGCGGTAGATGCATTGCACCTATTTGCTTGAGGACGACAACCGAGATGGTGACAGCAACTCTGCATGTTGATGCCTTGGGCTGAGGTGGAAAACTTATCTGATCACATCACGCTCCCTCGCGGGGTGACAAATGATTAGTGGAAGTATCTTTGGATGTAATATCATTTTAAATATTTGATATTATTATTATATTAAAAAAATAAGGACAAGTGATCTCAATTTAAAAAAACTTAAATTAATAGATAAAATCCATTCATATGATTAGATAATTTTATTGCTATTTACTTGAACTTAGATTTTTTAAAGAAATGATTCAACTTATCAAATTAATGTAAGCATAAAGTCTATAATTATGCTATATCTGAAATACGGAAATAACTTATATGTCAGGATTGAAATCAAAATGTATAGATCTAAATATTACGATGCGTACCTTTTGATGTCATCTCTTCAGAGATCTGTTTTAATCTGCTAAGCACCGTCTTTAATCCAAGATTACTGTAGTTAGCCACCGATCCAAAGTTTCAAGCACCGTCATCGTCTGCAATGCAAGGAGGAGTAGATCATTTCTCCTCTCTTCCTATCCTTTCATAGGACCCATTGAGAGTGATGAATTTTGGGGAGAAAAGGGTTTTGGGGAAATTGAAATCCAACGGAGAGGTGCGTCTGTACGTAATGTCAACGCTCTAACACTCTCTCAACCCCTAGAGGTCTAGCTAAAATATCTGAACGGAACTCAATTAGTTATTCTATTATATATCTTATTCAATTATAAAAGGGCTAAATATTCTAACATTCTCCCACTTGGCCGATTAATTGATAAGATATAAAAGAGATATTCAAAATCAAAATAAACAAAATAAAATTTGTTTAAAAACTAATTTTACCTAATTGGATTCCAAGGAATTTTGAAAAGCATTTTATATACATGGCCATGTTTTTTAAAATAAGCCAATAAGTCTAATAAACACAATAATACTATATTAAGTCCAACTATCAATGCGAGTCATAGCGGTTGTATTTCATCAATATCATACTTCCTTCTATATACCACAACATTGTTAGTTTTTCCTAATATAGTCCATAATGACCCTTGTAATTTGTCTTGTCAAGACAATCCTATTATTACATTCAACCATAATATGCATAAACATAAATGTAAACAGGATAGCAGAAACAGATAATTAAGCAAGAAGAATGTCAATAATAGCATCCACATGCATCACCATATCCTTTATGACTTGCTCACAAGCCTTATTCTAAGAACATGTTCTTTGAATATTTTACATTGTAAGGCTTTTGTCAATGGATCAGCAATCATCATAGTGATGCTCAAGTTCTCAATTGACACTTGCTGTTTCTGGACTCTTTCTCTAACCACCAAGTACTTTATCTCAATGTGCTTGGAAACACTAGAGTACTTGTCATTCTTAGAGAAGAAAACTGTTGCAGTGTTATCACAAAATATCTTCAGTGGCCTGGTAATTGAGTCGACCACACCAAGTCCTGAGATGAAATTTTACAGCCATAAAGCTTGATTTGTAGCCTCAAAGCATGCCACAAATTCAGCTTCCATTGTTGATGATGCAATAAGCGATTTCTTTGCACTTTTCCAAGAAATTGCCCCACTAGCTAACATAAATACAAATCCTGAAGTGGACTTCCTACTATCGAGGCAATTTGCAAAATCAGCATCTGAATATCCTATCACATCAAGCTGATCTGATCTCCTGTATGTGAGCATATAATTTTTCGTCCCTTGCAGATATCTCATTACTTTCTTTGTAGCTTTCCAATGTTCCATTCCTGGGTTGCTTTGGTATCTTCCCAGCATTGCAACTGAAAAACTGATATCTGGTCTTGTACAGGTTTGAGCATATAATAGACTTTCAACTACGTACCCATAAGGAATATTCTTCATTTGATTCTTTTCTAAGTCATTTCTTGGGCACTGGTTTTGACTGAATTTTTTACCTCTAGTAATAGGTACATCATTGGCTGAGCAAAGCTGCATATTAAATCTTTCCAAGATACGATCAATATATCATCTTTGAGACAATTCTAATAATCCTTGAGATCTATCCCTGAATATCTCAATGCCAATAA